AAATATTTGACATATATATATATATATATATATATATATATATATATTTATAATAAAAATCAAAATTAAATTAAATTATTTTATATATAATGAAAAATATTTTTAAAGTGTGGATAGGGGTACTTTACTACCTATCACTAGCCTATTATTAAATAGGCACCTATTTAATTATTCATTTACTAACTATAACAAATTTTATTCTTATATATGATTTTTTTTTTGTCATCCTTAAGTATGAGGTCAACAACCAACTTGAACTTATGATATGTGAGAGTGGAATCAACCTCACAAACAATGATAAGAAAATCTAAGAGATGAAGAAATGGTTGAATTTGAATAGGTGTAATTAGGCATAAGTTATACTCAGAATTTTTAATATATTCAAATCTCTTGTTTAATTTATACATCTTAATCAAATTTTATTGTAGAGGAAAAAAAATACTAGAAAGGAGAGTTGAATAGTGTCAATCAAAAACTCAGTACTTTTTTTTAACAATAAAGCATTGATAAGACCTTAGATAAAAAGATAAAGACAAAGAACACACAATATTTTTATATTTGTTCGTCTTAATCATTGAGATTACGTTCAGTTATTGATCAACTTAATCAAGTACCACTAACTTTCACAAAGATATAAGTACTATTTCACAAACCCCTTTTAGCTTAGCCTAAGTATTATTTGAATTGTCTTTTCAAGTAACTATCCAAATGTTCTTTGAACAACGAAGTATCTGCAAGCTTCAACAACCAAGTATTCTTTACAACAAAACTTTTTTAGGTTTCAAGTGATAACATAAACTTAAAGTTGAGAAACCACTTGTTTTTTTTTTTTGGAGGTGAATAAACTTAACTGATATCATTCAAAATAAGAGGTGCAATACATGTTGGGATGAAATCAAAAATATGGGAGCTAGCATAGTGTCTTGACGCCCTAGCTAAGGAGTGAGCGACATGATTTGCTTGCCTCCGGATGAACCTGACCAATAGGTTTGGATGAGAGTTGAGTAGAGAACGACATCTATGTAGAGTGTGACCGTATTCTGAATAGTAGATGTTGGAGTTTAGGATGTCCTCCACAACTTGTTTGGAATCTGATTCTAGTATGACATGGGTATAACCTTAATCACACACCCATCGGATGGATTCTAGGAGAGCTGTGGCTTCTGCTTCGTGGGACGGGGCTACCCCGTAGAACCAGCCTGACTTGGCCTTGATGAGGGACCCATTTGCATCACACAAACAAATTCCAAAGCCCAATTTGTTGTCTTCCTTAAATATGGCTGCATCAACATTGCCTTTGAGGAAGCCCACTTGTGGGCGCGTCCAACTACTAGGAGATATTGACTGTGTGGGAGGAGGATGATCCTTTGCTCGTGCATACTTCCATTCCTCAAACTTCTGCATGGCCTGGGAGATAGCAAGATGAGGAGGAGTAGTGGTGTTTGACCAGATCTTGTCATTGCGGCGCTGCCAGATACACCATAGGCTGACCACCATTTTGATTATGCTTTCGTGGCTGAGGCTATTCAACAAATGGTGGAGCGTCTCTTTAAAACCGTTGTCATTATTTACAGCGTGAGATATGAGAGTCCAAATACCACTTGTTGTTTCATCTCACTTTTAAGACGTGATACAACCAAATTAAATACCTAATTTTTTATAGAAAGAATGAATAAAATTTTTACAATGTTTTCTCACTTTTAAGACGTGATACAATCAAATATTTTTTACGTAACAATGTATGTTAATGTACATTCATTTATAAACTTATAAAAAATAAATAATTGCATAAAAAATATTTTAAATTTTAATACTTTATTTTTGTTTTATAAGTTGATTTGTTTATTTATATCTTTAATATATATATATATATATATTAATTTTTTTTATATTATATAAATAAATAGGTCGACCTATTAGGCCTAACAAACTTTTTTATAAACCTAAGTCTAGTCTTTCTATATAAATAGGTTTTTCTAAAAGTCTAAACTTGACATTTTTATTAAACAGATCAAATATATATATATATATATATTAATTTTTTTTATATTATATAAATAAATAGACTGACCTATCAAGTCTAACAGATATTTTTATAATAAACCTAAGTCTGACATTTTTTTATATAAATAAATTTTAAAAAAAAATCTAAATCTGATATTTTAATTAACAGATTAGACTAAGCAAAACAAGGTTTTAAAGAGATTAGACCATAAATTCTTATTTAAGACCTGATCTATTTTCATCCCTATATACAATATATTTTAAATATTATGATTTATATTTACTTTTAAAACAAGCGTCATAAAAATCTTAATTATGAATTTCATAAAATTTTTCTTAAACCCCCCTTAAAAACAAGCATCCATAATATTTGTGAAAAAACTATTATATATTTGTAATTGAAATATTGTTTATATATAATTTTTAAAAGTATTTTTAAATAATTAATAAATAATACCTTGTATCATAATATAAATTGTTTATTACATATTTAAAATATTTATTTATTATAAAATTTAATTATATAATTAATACATTTGGATGATAACTTTTTTAGGGTGAGGGAAGTTAATTAAGATAAAGAAAAGATCAATGAAATCTAAATATATACTTTGGTGATATTTAGATAACCCAAAATACGATTATCACTTATCATTCAATTACCGAAAAGAAAGGAGGAAAAATGATTTGCGTTCAAGATTTGAATACTGAACATTGAACATTCTTTTTCGTCGAGACTAGGTCTGCGATTTGAAAAGAATAGGTCATAAGTTGAAGACAAGAGTTTCTATTTATTTTATTATTATTTTTTTTTTATCCATACCGAAGATAAGAGATAATAAAAAGGATAAGTTAGTTTAATAATTAAATTCATAATAAATAAACAGATAATTCTTTACGCAATAAGAGATAACACACCGCCAATCACTACAATAATTGCAATCAGTAAAAGCGTAAAACCACCTCAGTTTAATTAATTTTTTTAAAAATCCGTTCATAGATTTTGAATAAAAGAAATTAGGGCACAGTACACACAAATCAGTAAGTTAGATCTTATCGCTATAAACTATCCTATAATAATATGTTTTACCTTTATAATATCTATCCTATAATAAAAAAAAAAAATTTATTTTATGATAAATAGTATCGGTGATTACGGAGAAAGAAAGGGTGGTGTGAATGTGATGAAGAAACGTAGGGCTAAGATGGCAGGAGCATGGAAGGAAAGAGAGGTGGGACCCAGCGAAACGGAAGATGCTTTGGAATATACCTAAACGCAATGCAGTGACAATATATTTATTTAATTTTTTATATTTATTTATCCATTATTTTCCTTTCCCTCCCTTCCTTGCCCATTCTCAAAATTATCATTACGTTCCCTTAGTCCCTCCCTTTCTCATCCACGTCCACCTTATAAAACCCCTCATTTTCTCAATCACAATCAATCTTCTCTATCCACTCCCTCTTTCTCTTCTTCCACTCCAGCTTCCTTAAAACCAACATGTGCGCTGTCGCCATGTCGCACCTCCAACAGCTAGAGCTGCTCCACAAATTAGAGGTCTTCAAGATCAAAGGCAGGGACAAGCACGGCCGCAAGATCCTCCGCATTATCGCCAAATTCCTCCCAGGTCAAATCCCTAATTCCTCTTAATTTCCCTATTTTTATTATTTTTACTATAACTGACTAAATCATGAACGAATTCAGCGCGTTTGGTGAGCGTGGATGTTCTGAACAAGTACCTGGAGGAGAGGATTTTCCCCAAGCTGGGGAAGAGGAAATTCGCGGTGCTCTATGTTCACACCGGCGTCCAGAGGAGCGAGAATTTCCCCGGAATCTCCGGTCTCCGGTGGATCTACGACGCGATTCCGGCCGCCGTGAAGGACAATCTGGAAGCCGTCTATTTCATTCACCCCGGCCTCCAGGCTCGCCTCTTCCTCGCTACCTTTGGCCGTTTCCTCTTCAACGCTGGGTATGTGAATTTTAGATCCCCTATTGAACCATTTTTGTAACGAGTGTGTCATGTTGAGGTTTGGTTGCGTGTGGTAGGCTCTATGGGAAGCTGAGGTACGTGAGCAGGGTGGATTACCTGTGGGAGAGTGTTCGTAGGAACGAGGTGGAGATTCCGGAGTTTGTGTTTGATCACGACGAGGACTTGGAGTACCGTCCCATGATGGATTACGGCTTGGAGAGTGATCACGCGAGAGTGTACGGTGCTGCTCCCGCACTGGATTCGCCCGTCACCACCTACTCCATGAGGTGCATCTCATAGGATTAGTTACGTATATGATATTGTGCAGAAACATAAACAAACAAGAAAAAACTTTAGTCCTTTTTCTTTTTTTTACTTTTTAGGTCCCGCTAGTGTGTCCATACTTATCCAATAGTATTTTCCCTTTTGTTTTCTAATTCTATCGCTGTTCCTTTCCTATCATTTTACATTCTCTCTATTATTTCTTTAAAAGGTTAAAACGGTGTTCTAAAATATAAAACGCACCCTTCCAAGTACCCGTGCCATGATGTCACCAGTAAAAAATAAATGTGAGATGAGTCACGTGTAACTGCATATGCATTAGAGCATTTTTTAATATGCTTTATTATTAATTAGTATGTAAAATTTACATTACATATTACGAGATTGATGTTTTTTCAATACATATAAAGTTTATTTTAATTGACACCGATCACACGAGGGGTTTATTTGAAATTGCTGTGTTTGTTTCTAAGAAATTTTAAAGAGAAAGAACAAGATTAAATAAAGTGTAAGGGAGAATAATTCTTTTAATTGTTTGAAAGAAGAAAAAAATAATAAAGAAAAGAGAAATAAGGAAAGAAAAAGATTGGTGTCATCCATGATTAAAAAATGAAAAAATCTTTATAAGGAAAGATATTTTATGAGAAATCTTGTTAAATTTTTATTTATTTCTTTTCTCTTCTACTTCTTTTTATTGATAAAAAAAATAATACATGAATTATTTAGGCATTGGAGAGGAATTAGTGTTAAGACTTTTGAACATATCCATCATACAAATAATAGAGTAGACAATAAGATTGTTGTTTCCAATGAAGATTGTAACTCAATTTTTGATTTGCATGGTTGGTTACTATTTGAACCAACTACAATGGTGCTACTCAAGAAATTAAATATATTATATCAAAACTTATAAATAATTCGTTACATTTTTATAGTTTTAATTAGATTGTGGAAAAAAAACACTGCATACCTCTCTATATTTTTTTAAAAAATAATAGTGGGTGATTTGCGGAATGCATTTAAAGAGTGTGAATGATTTTAATGAAAAAAGAAGAGTAATAGAGAGAATAAAAATTAAATAAAAATAAGTTTTTAGTATTTGACTCCTAAACATATTTTAGCGGTTAGTTTCAATTGTATTTCATATTTCTTTTTTCTTCTTCTAACATATAAAAAAATTAATATTTAAAACTCAATAGTAATGAATAGATGGTAAAAGAAAATTAGTGCATATGATTTATTTTTTTTGATAAAAAGCTAATTATATGCCCATATATATCTATGTTTTAGGGGAATCCAAGACACATGGATAACTCTCCTAAATTTTTTTTAATGACCATTAGATATTAGATCCTTATAGAAATTTCGCTAAAACAAATTTATGTATAAAGTAGTCAAGTTTTCTTCTCTAACGCCATTGTGGGCTTTTATTTTTCTAAAATTCAGTTAATATAACGAAATCAAATTTAATATAATGCATAGTATTTTATACAATATTGCATAAAATTAAAATACTATTAGATTTTATGATATCAATTTTTATACAATCAGACATCGACAATCATATCATGTATGACAAATCAACTCTATATATTTCAATTTCCAGAACAAGAATATTTATACAACCACGATCCCCGTCTTATGTAGTTAATAATATTTGTACAAATATTATCATTACTTTTCCTTTGGAAAAATCAGCATGAAGCTACAAATTAAGTGGGAGTGACAAATTTGAATTTCTCAAAACCAAAAAAAGAAAAAGAAAAAAAGAAAAAGACATTCTCTTACACTAATTAGTAATTACCTCCAAACATGATGCATGCATGCATGCATGCATCCACTTGATGTGAATTAAACTTGACATTAACACCAGTGTCAATGATAACATATATGCATTAAAACATTTTTTAATATGCTTTATTACTAACTAGTATGTAAAATTTACATTACATATTATGAGATTGGTGTTTTGTCAATACATATAAAATTTATTTTAATCAACACTGATCACACGAGGGGTTCATTTGAAATATGTCGTGTTTGTTTCTAAGAGATTTTAAAAGGAAAGAACAAGATTAAATAAAGTATAAGGAAGAATAATTCTTTTGATTGTTTGAAAGAAAGAAAAAAACAACAAAGAAAAGAGAAGTAAGGAAAGAAAAAGATTCGTGCCATCCATGATATAAAAAAAAAATCTTTATAAGGGAAGATATTTTATGACAAATCTTGTTAAATCTTTATTTATTTCTTTTCTCTTCTACTTCTTTTTAGTTTTTACTATACTTTTTTTCTTCAAAATTTTCATAATTCAAACAAAGTATTAAATATGGACTATAAGCTTATTTACATAAACTTTTTCATAAACACTTCTTGAAAAAAAAACATAAAAAAAATAACATAAACTTCTTCATAAACTAAAATTAACATATCATAAATTAATTTATAAAAAAAATTTCATATAAATTAGGCTTATTTTATTTTTCTTTCGTATAAAATTAATGTTTTTAATTAATTTAGTTGGTATTTTCATTTTCATTAACCGTTCATCTGACCAAATACTTTAGTTAATCATGTGAACAAATCGGTAGATCAGCTCCCTAATCAAGAATTTTCAAAAATCTCAAAAACAAAAATTAAAAGAAAAAACGATATTTTTCTTTTTTCATATGGAAAAGGTAAATATTTGTAAATAAGAAATACTTAAAGTAGTTTAATATTTTTATTAGTGCAAATTTCTTGTGAGAATTATTAATAAAAACGTTGAATCGACTAGACAAAATTAAATTCACACCATTTTAAATAATTCATTATAATTTTATTCGATAATAAAATGTATGTAAAAGAAATAAAATTTAACTATAATTCATATTTGTGTATTAAATATAAATGACTATTTTACATGAAAGTATTTTTAGGAGGTATTTTTTAACAAAAGCATTTTTAGCCATTTTAATTTATTTGATGAGAGAATTTTTATAATTTTTTTTAATTATTAAGTTTAATTTTTATTTATCATATTTATTTATAAATTAAAAATTAATATTATTAAAATAAATTAGATCAATGAGAGGACTATGGACCCTCCGATTTCTAATACTAAAATAATATATTAAAATTACCCATATTTTAAAAGTCCTCATGTAAGATTGTATTTTTGACTTATGTTAAATAATTGTATGATTAATTATTATTATTTTTGTTATTGTTGTTTTAGAGTTTTAGAGGTTAAGGAATTCTTAAGAGTTACGTCGTTTTTGAGATACTTTCAGACAAAATTCAGTTGGTTAAGTTTAATGAATGATATATAAGATTTTTCTTAAGACATGAACCTTAAAAGTTCATGTTTTAAGAAAAACTAAAGAGAAGTTAGAGAGAAGTTTCTCGAACTTGAAGAATTATTCTTCACCTTCTTTTACTAAATCTCTCTTTCAACCTTCTCTTACAGCTAATCCAAGGTGATTATTTGGAGATTTGAACTTCTTGGAGTAGGAATCTCAAATTCGGGGTCATGTGAAAATTTCTTCTTCTCTTATCAATTGATCGACTAAAGGTAAGAGAAGTTTTGTAAATTGAATAGTTGTGTTGAATGCTTGTTGTTGTTGCTTGAATTCATCATTTATATGATTAATTTAGTGAAGGTTGTGAATTAAAAGTGTTGTTGGAGGTGCTCTTGAAATGGTTTTTCTTGAGCAATTTGGTGAATCGGTGTTTAATGTTTGCATGTGGTGTTTGTTGTTGAATATGAGTTGTATGTGTTGAGTACATGTTAAAAATCGTGTTGCATGTTATTGAGGCTACTTTGATTATAGGTTTTGAGTCAAATTTGAGATTCTACTAAGTGCGAAAATTCTCATCATGTTGAGTTTGCATTCATGATGCTGGACGTGATTCAAATCAAAGATTTCCTATTCTGATCACATTGGGCATAAGATTGGTGACATTGGGTGTGAAAAGAGAGAATAATCTTTAATTTTGTCATGTTAAGCCTGGGATGAATAGTGCCGAGTGTCAGGAGAGAGAAACGTCTTTGACTTGGTGATGTCAGACTCTAGTGGAGAAGGTGTTAGGTGTGATCAATATAAAGACTCTCTGCCTATATGACATTAGGCACCAATGTTGTGATATAGGACGCCAGTTAGGTAGAGACTCTCTATTTAAAATGAGGTCGGACATGGATTTTGTCACGTTAGGCGAGAAAGACTAAGAAACTCTACCTCATTCACGTTGGGTGCCAGTGGATTGGCATTGGGCATGGACGAGACAAAAGTTTCATGTCTCAATAATGATGAGTGTGTAGAGAATGGCGTCAGACGTTAGTTAACTAATGAAATGTAATGTTTTAAGTTGTTTAATAGTTAAAGAGTGATGACTCAATTATACAATGAATGTTGAAGTATGATGAATTACTTATATGGATGATGATATATATGATGATGTTTAAAGTTGCTCGTAAAAGAGACTTGATGAAGTTGATTAATTTGTAAGTTGTACGTTGATAGTTAATGAAATTGTGAAGTTGTATGATGTTTATAGTTGATTAAGTTGTAAAGTTGTTAGGCATATGTTGAAGATATGTCTTAGTTAAGATACATAAAAATTATAGGAGATTAAAGTTGTTTTAGAAATTAAAATATTTCATTGTGCATATATAAGTTATGGTGCTCTAAGAGTTCAAGTTGAGAACCCTTCAATAAGGAAGTTGGCTTCTAAATAGATAGTTACTTTTAAGTTGTCTCCTCTAGACTTTATGTGGAATTTGTATAAGGGTCAAGTTGAGTCATACATGTATAAAGTGTGATCCACTGAGTAAAGTATGAAGTTATTAAGGGGTAAAATACTTAACTGATTACTAGAAAGGTGTATAGTACTTGGAGGGTAGTCGGTAGACTAATTTCATAAAAGACTTAGTTTATGCATGCTAAGACAGTGGTAGACTCACATTCAAGTTTTTCTACCTCGATAGTAGTACTAAACTTTCCTAGTTCAAGGCAAAACTTGAGAAAACAATCTAAGTTGTGTACTTGACACTTTGATGAGGCCTAACGCTATTTATACTTGGCTAGTTGTGATAGGTTAGACGTTATGGTTTGGTAAGGTCTAATAACTTAAAGTACTCATTTTTATTGTAGGAGATCCCTGTAGTTGATATATGTGATGACATATTAGTTTCTTATTATTGTTGATATTGAGAATGTTTTTTGGTTGAAGTTGCTAAACTGTGTTGTGTAGTAAGTTGTATATGTTCTAATTGGTGATAAGTTGAACATGTGTGGTAAGATAATCTATTGTTGTTCAAGTTGCTTATGTTGTCACTCTATATTGTTTATTGTGTGTTGAATTTTTTCACAAATTTACCCTCTTTTTCCCTTGTGGTTGGAATTGTAATGATCATACTTTGTATAAGAGCAGAACAAGATTAGTAGAATGACTTGGTTAGTTGGTGGAGGGCCATACTGGTGATTGCCTAGTTTTGGTGATATAACTTTGATTAACATATTTATCGCATATACACTTAACCAACAATTAGGAATTTTGTGTGTGTATAATTATAGTTCATGTAGATTATATATTGTACATGGTGTATATGTAACCCCTTAATGGGATTTATACTTTTAGCATTATGTTTTCTACCTTATACATGTATAAATTGCATAAATGATAAGGTAATTGTTGCATGAGATTCCTAGGGTAGTTAACTATTGTTAAGTATTTTCGCTATGTAGTATTATTCCATACTAAGGGTAATGACCTGTTGATAATTGTGTGATTTACTTAATATCAAGTGTGTAAATGACAATTACCTTTTTCCCCTTATTTCTAGTGTTGACAATCTCTTTTTGGTATAAGTTCATAGTTTACAATTCATTGTAATTTTTAGGAATCTTGACTTAAATATCACAAATGGAACTCTTTTTGTAGAGAAGTTGAAGATGAAGAGAGTTGCAAGCTCCAACACTTAAAGAATCAATAAGAAAATTGAGAGTTGAAGTTGGATTTTCGGTTAGTGAGCCAATCTGTTCGTTGAGCGAGAGTTGCATGATGGAGAGTCACAATGAAGTTTGCTCACTTAACAAAAACGTGGTCGTTGAACAAGAATTCGATGACCAACACAAATCAAGTGGTTCATTTAGTGAGCCTTTTTTAGGGATGGCAAAATGAATTGTGACCCGCTGGCCGGCCCGTTGACTCACCAAAAATTGGCGGGCCGGGCCCATCATTTCAACCCGCCAAACCTGCCAACTCGTCAGGCCAAATGGCAAGCTGACCCATCACAACCCGCCAACCCGCATAAGTAATTGGGCTTCAGTTGCTTGCATAAGTAATGAACTTGTTTTGTGGACTATCAAAAAATTTAGATTATTAGTAATTTGTAAGTTTATAATTTGGTTTTGATTTTGGTTTAAGTTGACTAATTTCTATTTGATTTTGTTCTAAGTTTGTAATTTATTTTTGTTGAACATATATTATATACAATATGTATGCATTTTTAATTTCATATGGTTATATTTATTTATTTGTAGAATTTTTTTAATTTGAACATAAAAAATGTTTTTTTTCCATTTTTTTTGCAATGTTTTTTGTGGTATTCCGGCTTGCCCATCGACCCGCCAATCCGTCCTTAGGCAGGGCGGGCCAGGGTTTCCAACCCATTTTTCATTGGCGGCCTGGCCCGACCCAGCCTGTTTTTGGCGAGCCATTGACGGGTCGGGCTGACCCATTTTGCCACCCCTAGCCTTTTTTAGGTTAACAAGATTAAATCACAAAAAGTTTTTCTCGTTGAGCGAGACATGGACGCTGAACGAGACAACCTTAAAGCATCATAAACATTTTCTAGCTTAGCGAGCCAATCTGGTTGCTAAGCGAAAGTTAGTGGACACCTAGACCTATGAGACAAAGAGAATGCTTTCTGATAGGGTTGGCCTAGGGATTCAAAGGCATTATTGCAAACATTATTGACAAGACTCTTGAAGGGTGGGAACACCCTATGATATTTCCCCACATCTCCAATCTTTCATCATTTTTAGTGGTTCTAATGGCTAGTTATGGCTAAACTTCGAGTCATTGAGATTGGATGTAACTAACTGAACATCATGTATTACCTTTACTTCATTAATCTATGTTTCATTATATTCATTAGTGTTTTCACTCTTCTCTTAATGCTCTCTTGATTTATTATATCTTGAATGATTTATTACTTTAGTTTTTATTGGAAAATGCTTCTTCAACTATGTAGGAGTTAAAATACACATTGAGAGTCATATTTAGGAATGAATATGAAGTTGAATGAACATTTGTGAACTACTCATTTTTAATGCTTGTATTTTAGTCATGTTAACCAAGGGATTAGAGATTTGAGTGAAATACATGGTTTCAAGCTCTTCAGGAATTAAGGTTTGAAGACTTTTGTGGTTTTGTTAATGTTGAAATGGAATATAGAGGAAAATCTTTTATAAATTGATATATGATGGTGGTCTAGTGAAATCCAATCCTAATAGTTCTCTCCATTAGATTTTACTTAAGTATTGTCTCGTGTGTTTCACAAAAATCTCAAAAGAAAAGTTATTGTTATTACTTATGTTGTTACTTTAGAGTTCATTTATGCAAAAACCCAACTTCAAACAAAATACATATAGTGTGTTGAGTTAGATTTGCCATATATTGCACAAGGTCTTTTGAAATACAATTTTATTTTCAAAATATTAGACACAATTTGGTATGCTTATTTATTATTCATCACCTGTCATGTCGTTACATCTCACATAAAAGCTAGCAAAAAAATAATTATCTTAAACAGAACAATCTGTGAAATTCGTAAACCAAACTCAATATTTCCTATAATTATACAATTTTGTTTAAAAAAATAGGTCTATTAACTGTGTAGATAGTGAGTTTCGAAGACTAACCTACAAACTTGAACCCATATATGCACTCCTAATATAGATATATCCATTAAAAAAAGATAAATATAAAATAATTAAGTTTCAAATAAATAATTTAAATCCTACTTATTAAGATAAAAGACATACTATACACCATTCTCATAAATCCAACAAATCTAAATCCATATTTTTCAAGTCTATAACTCATTCTACAATAATTGCGCATTAAAATTACAGGTCTTTAACTGAATTGATATACAAATATATTTATAATTTATAAGTCTATTTGAGTTAAATACGGTGAGACTTAAGAGAATAAAAAGCTCACTTCTCCTTATATCAACAACTAGTATCGGGTCAATTCTCTTATGACATACATGCTAATTTGTTGTATTGTAATGTATAATAGTAAAACCCACCAAATTTCATTGTCCCCCAAGTTTTATCAAAAGACCATGACCAATTTGAATGTACGTTGGCCAAGGACTCCCATCACCCGAAATTAGGCAATGGTACTTATTTAGATTTTACAAATGTAGCTTTTAGCCAATAAATTTGTCTCACTATTCTTCAAATATTAGTATTATGTAACATACGCCACCTACATAGGAGCGACATTTTTCAACCAATGGATCGCTGCTTCCGGATTTTTCCATGCCTCGCTGATCCCGGTATCGTTCTTCAACACTCTCTTTCGTTCCACTGGTTTTTTGTTTTTCTCAATTTCTGTTTTATTTTATTTTTAATTTTGTTCTGAGTCGGGCTAACTGATCAGCTCGTTCATTGTTGCATCGTGGGACGTGCCGCACCTGAACCTCAATGAAATCGTCCCTGTGCTTTTGGAAGAGGTGGTAGTATTGCAACAAGTTGGGATCCTTGACCTGGAAGTTGTCATTGACCTGTTCGGTCACAATCTTCGAGTCAGTCCAACATATGACTTTTTTCACACCCATCTCGGTTGCCAACCGCATTCCCGCTAGCAAGGCTTCATACTCCGCTTGATTATTAGAGGCTCGGAAGCCGAAACGCAGAGATTGCTCTACAGTGATGCCCGAGGGACTAGCTAGAATTATACCTGCCCCACTTCCTTGAGCGTTAGAGGACATTAAATACAAATTATAATTTATACAATTATTATGATTTCCGCCTAACATAAAAAATCACTGCATGCACATCACACTGTTAGTTAAGATTAATTAAGAATAAATGAGTAGAAGCGTTCTTTTCTCTTTACATACACAACATTATGCAAGCACTAGGTTCTTCACTCTCAGTCCCAGATTGCACTCTTCCGGTGCCCAGATTCTCAATTAATTCCACTCTTCCAAATTTTGCATCTTTTGTGTCCACCCTGAGCCCCTCCAAGGTTGGAATCAGATTGAGTTTGACTTTTGGTTGTGGGGTTAGGAGTAGTAGGTGTGATAGTTTTGGGGTCCAGTGTTTAGGGTCCAATGGAGGAGAAAATGATGATGGGTTTTACATCAGAAGATGTGTAGAGCTTGCAAGGAAGGCTCTTGGGTTTACCAGCCCCAATCCATTGGTGGGATGTGTCATTGTAAAAGATGGGAAAGTTGTTGGTGAAGGCTTCCACCCTAAAGCAGGGCAACCTCATGCTGAGGTACCTACTTTCTATCTATCTCTCTAAATTGTTCTATGTTATGTAAAATAAGAAGTTGGCAAAAAAAAACTTGTTTGTTTGTTATGTACTTATTATACTGTGTTTGTGTTCTTTTGTGGTCTGTTGATTTCATTGAATTGGTGTTTTAAACTGATGATAAGCCTAAACAAGGTTTTAAATTGCGGTCTAGGTTGCGATTTCATTGCATTTCCTTATATCGTGGAAAATTGCAGACTAATGCGGTTGAGGCTGAAATTGTGGTCGCCAACTGTTTTTATAAAATCTTTGTCCTTGAATTGTGGAAAATTGTGACAAATGTGGCCACAACGATTATGGTTGCAAAGACCCCAAAATCCTTGATATTGTAGAGAGCCCCAAAATGTTTTTAGGAATATTTATAAATGTTGTCTAGGAATCAAATATTTTTACTGTCCATTAAATAAGCAAATAAAGGTAATGCGATATTTGTCCCACATTAAAATTTTCTTTTTAACTAGAGAATGTTAGTTTCCCCCTTTCATGTGGGAATAATTTTGTGAGAAACTTGTATAAAAAGTATTTTCGGAAAATAATGTTTCTTATGAATGTTATTATTTGAATAACAATCAAACATGGGAATTCCGAACTTCAGATTTTCTAAGAAGTAAAAATTTTCCATATACCATGTCTTCTTAATGTTGTGGCTAAAAATCATTTAAAACCTTGAGCCTAATTTGAATTTAGATTGTGTTTTTTGTAAGAAAAGAAATTAGGAGATATTCTAGGGAACATGCTTTGATCGTTAGATGTTACTCTTCCTTAGAATTTAGATAGGGAGTCTGTGTTTGTTGCTGAGTATGTTGAGTCAGGAGATGAGATTGCCAGGTGTTTGCTCTGAGAGATGCTGGTGATTTGGCACAAAGCGCAACGGCTTATGTGAGCTTGGAACCTTGTAACCATTTTGGTAGGACTCCACCTTGCACTGAAGCTCTAATTAAAGCCAAAGTGAAAAAGGTTGTTGTTGGGATGGTGGATCCAAATCCCATTGTTGCCTCCAAAGGGGTGGAAAGATTGAGAGATGCAGGAATTGAAGTAATTGCGGGTGTAGAGGAAGAACTGTGCAAGAGCCTCAACGAGGCATATATTCATCGCATGTTGACTGGAAAGCCTTTACTTACTTTGAGGTAATTAAACTATAGCTCTGTCCTTTGACACCTCCACTTGCTTTGCATTAACGATTTGTGTATAGACGCTCTTTGGGTGCATAGTGGTGTTTGGTTTTAGATTTATTGATCAACATATAAAACTTAATTATGTTATCCTTACATTATTTAGTTACTTTAACTGCATATTTACTTTTATTTTCCCATTGAGTTATGCCCTTCTAAGTACTGTGTGGATTCAATAATTATAGATATTTTTAAGCAAATTATTGGTAGTTTTAAACTATATATAGAGAGAGAGAGCTGGAAGAAAAAAAGGGGGGGGGGTATTTTAAGTGACAATTGTTCTCAGTTAGGATAACAACAAATATTTTTTTTTTTTTTTTTTTTTTTTAGATAAACAGAGAATAAGCGATCTTCTAGTACACCTATCATCTGTATGCATGTATGCAAATGAGATGCACCTAATTCTATTTGATTCAGTTTTTCAAAAGAATTAATCGATGCGTTCTTTGTTTGGATCTTGCCATTCCTCCAGACAGACTGTGCTTTGCCGATTTCTGTAACC